AGTATGATCTTATATGAATAGAACATAGTTCAATAGCATAATAGAATTGTCTTTGTAACTTTATAACAACATATTCACGTGCTATGTTTACTATATATATATATATATTTCTTTCCTTACTTTGTATTCATTCTGATGATGGCGTAAGTAACGCCGAAACATGTCAAATACACCACATTTAAAAATCGTAATTGTTATTTTAAAATTCGATTTGTGGTATTCCAAACATAAAATTTAACCTTCATTCAAAAGTAACTTGTTTATGTGTAATGTTCCGGATTTTTAATATTCATTGTGTCTTGTTKATTTTATATATAATATATTTTATTATCGCAACCTGAATTTGAAATCAATAATTTTCAGTGRTAAAAGTTTTGTCAATGTGATTTTGCTGAACGAATTGAAATCGGATTTTAAGCCGCCCGGCAAGAGTTTTTAATTTTGRCAACAGTCCATYAAAAAGTGTAAAAAGMTGAAAGACGTCATCCGAGAGCTTCATTTAGTTTATCTTTACATTTAAAAGCGGTAGCAAGYGATTAACACACTGGAATAGATATCCAATTAGCTAATCTTTTCTTAGATTTCTTTTGTGATAAAGGTACGATTCTGCTGTTTGTTATAATTTCATTTTGCCTCATTAATTATTTTAAGTTGGAATTGTTTTCCTATTTTGTAGACGATTTTATGAACATATCATGCAAGAAAACTATCCATCTATTAGTCAAAAAACTCACAGATAACTAATCACTTATTAAACCAAAACTGTGTGCAGTAGTGTAGTAGTGTTTAGTASCTCAGTAATTCGAATTTGAGAAAGGTGTCCCTTTGTATTAAGGGACGGTTGATTTCTTGCGAGCAAGATTTTTTTTCTTCGTGGCTTTTGGGTAGGATATATATTTTTTCTCTTGGTGGTGTGTAGGGATTTTTTTTTCTTTTATGTAACATTTTTTTGGGGCTTAGGGTGGTGCAAGACTTTTTTTCAGGTCCATATGTTGTGCACGATTTTTATTTTTGGTGAAGATGGCTTGCAGGATTTTTTTTTTCAAAATCATCKAKCCCCCCCCCCCCCCCCCCCCCCCGCCTCAAAAGTTAAATGGACCGTCCCTAAAGACGTTTACTGGGTGGTCAAATGGTAGCCAAAATATTTATGTTTTTGAATCCAAAGTTCTTTATATATCGTGTCAGTTTTCTTTATGAAACCGAATTTAAGTCAGGTTGGAATTCACWGTTTGTCAATTTTTGCGAAAAGTTGTAAAATCTCAGTAATAAAGATACTCATCACACCTGCTCCTAAAAATTAAAATCTCAAAATGGCGGGCACCAGGGCACGAAACACGCAATACGGCCGCTCTGACGTCATATTAAAAACAAATTTACTTATTTTTAGTTGTAATTTTCTTTTTTTTGTATAGAGCTTTGGGCTCACAGCCAAGAAACTGCTGACATTCCAAAAAGTGTTARCCTTAGCCTATGATTTGGAAAATAAAGGGCATCTGCCTAGGAAGTGGGATTCCGGTCCCCCAGTAGTACCCAGTCCTCTCATCGAGCATCGAGCCATCATTTCATTGATTCATTTATTGTTTGCCTTTTATTGTAGGGCGTGATATCTATATCAGGAGTGTATGATCTTCATAAGCTTTCTGGTGGGATAACAGAACATTTYTTCCTTAGGCCAGTCTTTGGTAAAAATAAAAAAGTATGGACAAGTGCTTCACCTTCACATCAACTTTCTAAGAAAACTTCAGAAATTAATCACTGCAAAATCCCGTTTTTGATCATGAATGCAAATCTCGATCCGTTGTTGAAAGCTGATGCTTGTCATTTTGTGGAGAAACTGATAGAGCTAGACTTTTCTTGCAAATACGCTGTTGTCCCAAATGTCAATCATCTTTCAATAATACTTAAATTTGGTGGTTCAAACGMTCAAAGTGAATCTACTGAGCAACATTGTTTGTCATTCATCAGAAATAATATTGAACGAATTAAACACGAATCATTCAGCGAATGAATGTAATATGATATTTATCAAGTTATTACAATAAAATATGGAAAAAATTGTTACAAATATTGAAGTGTTATATTAGAATACATTAGATAAAAAAATTCTGGCCGCTGACATAAAATAAATCACTTGTAAAGACAACAACTTCAAGTTACAAAACGTCATTAAAATGTAAACAACATTTGATTTTCTATTTATCTGGGGTTTTACATTAGAAAACTTCCCTGAAAATATCAAAAATATTTTTAACCAAATGACTTAGTTTATTGTTGTCTTTACGTCTTTACAACTGAACAACTTTATTGAGATTGACTACTGTATCTACTGTATATATAAGAGAGAGTACATAARAAAAGGGGTCTTGTCTCTAGCGGGAAAATCCAGTCTTRCAAAAGACGAAATGAATTCACTCGCTGCATSAAAAGTCCTGACTCCAAGGAAGGTCATCAATCAACGTCAGCTTTTTTGATCAGTAATTTCGGCTCTTATTACAGAGAAAAAAGGAAACTTCGGGCGTTGCGTTCGGCTGTATTGTCGAGCTGAATGACGGTCAATGGGCGTTATTGTGCATCTGCGGTTGATTTGCGTCTTGCGTGCTGTGCATTGTTTAGGTTCAGGCCAAGATGAGAGAGTACATAACAAAAGGGGTCTTGTCTCTAGCGGGAAAATCCAGTCTTTCAAAAGACGCAATTAATTCACTCGCTGCATCAAAAGGGTCTTAATTCTTTAAACCCCCTTTTGTGCTGTCCCTCCTCATAAGTTTAGTTTCTTATAAAACTTCATATTATGCCACAGGCCAACCAGGATCAGTTCTTTCGATTATGAACTCGCGGTGTCGAAGTACGAACCGTGGGTTCGAGCCAAGCCTAAAATAACAATGTTTCTTTTTCCTCCTTTTATACAAAAATATAGTCGCTTATATCATCTGAAATTATTCCTAAAGCGTTTTTTTAAAAAAGCCGTTTTTTAATAAGTCTTCTTCTTTGGTTTGTGGGGAAAGAAAATTAAAAAAAKCCGCTTTTTTAAAAAAACGCTTTAAGAACAATTTTAGATGATATAAGCGACTATATTTCTGTAAAGAAAGGAGGAAAAAGAAACATTGTTATTTCAGGCTTGGCTCGAACCCAGGGTTCGTGCTTCGACACACATAATCGAAAGAACTGATCCTGGGTCGCCTGTGATTATTTAATAGATAATTACTGATATCGATTGTAACCCATTGTTTTCCCTCTGAATTAGACCAACGAATGCAGACAGAAACAGGTTGGCCAGCTGCAATATTTAAAATATTGCTGTCTGCTTCAAAACAGAAAGAACAACAGAATGGCTTGCCAGCCGTAAAGGCTATTTTGTGACAAAGCATTAAGTTATTGTGTTCAGATATTGTGTTCGCGGACTCGGCCTCATGGGCTATTAGCTCGTAGTCCACTCGACCTCGAGGTCTAATTGTTAAATAGACGTAATTTCAAAGTATTCGAATAATTTACGATATTTTTTAGCGAGAAAAGACAGAGAGAATTATAAAAAATGATGTACCCTATATATAATGAAACTAGGACAATCTTTTCAAAGTTTAATTTTAAGCTTAAAAAGTTCGGTACTCCCCTCTATTTGCTATACGTGTGTGTGACGGGACATAGTCTATAAGGGCATTGTTTTTTTTTGCCTTTTAGGTCTGGCGTAGGGTATCATTCTTTGAAATTTTGTCTGGGATTGGGGATGCCTTTTTCATTGGGACAGGGTGACAATTTTGTCGTATTACTAGTCTATTAGTTTTAGTTGGTTTTGTTGTGGAATCAGATATGCCTTAGATACAGAAACAATATAAAAATTAAACGTTAGCAAAAAAGGTGTACAATTCTTAAGTTTATTTTAGCAAACAAAAAAAACACACACAAAAAAAGCAAACAAAAAAAACACACACAACAAAACAAGAAACAACAACGAAACAATATTAAAGGAGTTTCATGAATACTTTTCTACTACTGATTCTACTCGTAACTACTCGACTATCGATATTACAAAGTTATTCAAGACTTTGGACAATTGCACTGGCAATCTACATGCACCTCGGTGTTTTCCTTCATATCCTTAGATTTATTTCGGAAGGCGTCGATTACTTTTTGGAACTTCTGGTTGGATAATTGCTGTTGTGTTTTCTTGGCTAGATCTGACGATTTATCAATGCAATTGTAGCCAAACTTGGCTGTAGTGGTTTTGGTCGGTTGGCAGTTTGGTGCACAGCGTGTAACTGGCGAAGTGGTGATGCACAATTTATTGGTTTTGCCGACTTTACTTTCTACAGGTCTGTGGACTAGCGTGCACTCTACAAACAAACAGAAGGTCAACAATAGGCAAAGTGCAGCGACGCCATTTTGTGCAGCAAGGGATGGTGGTTGTAGTTAGCGTACAGCGAGTCCTACTACCGGTTTTTGCTTTTTCTAAGCGAAAATAGGAGTGCTTGTGCCGTTTTTAAAGAGAAAATATAAAAARGACTTTTAAGGAGATATTTTAGGAACTATGAAAAGTGCAAGGACTGCAGCTACCATCATGCTTTGCGGCGCAAAATTGCGTCGCTGCACATTTGAAAAACATTGAAAAACAAAAGAGAGCGRCAAAATATGTTACTGTGATCAATACTTTTATCAATATAATAGTATTTATCACGTATCTTTACAATATTTAWTTTTTTTATCAGTATTTAGCTTTAGGTTTATCAGTTTTTATAAAGTGTCATGTGTTACCCTTTGTTAGCCGTACAAACTTTTTTTTATTTTTATTTTTATTAGCATTACCCCTAGTATAGGAAGGGACACCGCAACAGCGTGAGCCAATTACTGCGGACCCTGGACTTTTCATTTTATCCAATTTGGGGCCAAGCCTGTATTTCTAGAAAGGCCTAATTTTAGGTCTTTTGAGGCCAATTTACACGGTGCGACTTGTAGTGTAAGATTTTCTTGGGACAAGTCGAAGGATTTTGAGTCGGGGTGCAAAATCCTACTTCACTGAGTTATAGGTTGCGTACGACTGTTGTAGTAGGCAAGTCGTGGCGGCATTTACACGGCGCGACTTGAAGCTCATTTGAGTCGTATACTAAAAGTCGCACGCGACAATCGGCATTTGTAATATAATACATGTTTAACAAGTTGCCTTAAATGAAAAAAAAAAATCAATAAATTAAAAAAAAACAAAAAACAAATTTGTAGGTATAATGACAAAATTTTTACGTGCTATCTATTACTTTTAGAAAGCATTTGCGCAAAAGTCTATTGTGAACTAAATCAAAAGAGCGGTCACTCTCTTTGAACGCGGAAACGAGGAGCATATATCAAATATCTAATTTAAATCATGACTAGCACTGACTGTACCTGAGTTGCAAGACTTCCCGGGAACAAGCCAAGAAGCACCAAGATGATCAGCGTTAGACGATTTCCTGATGTCATCAGATGCCATCCAGTTGTTGTTTCCGCACATTCCACACATGTATCTGAAATACCTTAAGAACAAAAATAGCAAGTATATATTGGTAAAAACTAATCTACGAGATGTCCTATATTCGGAACAAAGGAACAAGGTTGAACGTACAATCAGACTCGATACGCGCCAAGGTGTTTGTGTAGTTGTGTCCAACACCTATTTGACATATTGTTTTTCTTGCTAATGTTATTGTACGACATATAAGTACAGAATTTGAATCTTTTAAAATACTTGAAAATGAAGTCAAGATGAATTCAAAACGTCGTAACTTAAATGTGTTATTATTTATTCTGAAAATCTCTACTAACAGAAACTTTGTAATAGAGAATGTGAAGTGACGCCATTTTGTGCTGCAAAGCCGATGTATAGATGTCGTTTTGGAAATTTGTATTTTCGAATGTTATATTTACAGTACACTGTTGTAAYGTGCGTTTTCGAATTTTTCAAACATAGAATGCTAATAATCTGCATATTTAAAGTTTAAATTTGAGAAAAATCGATGAAATTTTGCGCGCTCGGAAAGCCAAACAATTTCACATCAATGTTTGAATATTTCCTGGTGTTGGCCATCGCGCCATCAGATTAAAGTCTCGAATACCCATCAGAAAAATTAATGCTTKGACTATTACATATGTAAAAATAACAACTATACAGGCATTTTATGATGTGGAGCGAGCGAGTTAGTAAGTTTGGAGTAACCTTAACTGTTTCCGCATTTTCTCAGCAAAAAAAAATGTTTCTTGCCTTTTCACAAAGAATGCTTGTGAGGACTACAACTACCATCATGCTTTGCTGAACGAAATTTCTTTAGCGATTAAGTTGAAAAGAAAATAAGCCAAAAACATCGCCAACAGCAAACTGCAAAAGGTTAGAAAAAGGAAACTAAGAGGTTTTAAAAAAGGACAGTCGACTTTTTCGATTATAAATGAAAGTATCAGTTTTCTCTTACCATGGAGTCACCTTTACTTTAATCTTCTTGGTATTTGCAATGACCGAGACTCCAGCAATGCATCTAATCACTACTTTATCATCTGACTTAGTCACGCGGCACAAATGTGGCATGTTTGCAGACTTGTACTTAGAGGCGCCCTGACAATTATTTATAGCAAAGCATTACACATTGCAGATGAGATGTTGTGCGAGTTCTAGGTCAAGTACAGACATAATACACGTTGTTTTTGAGAATATAAAATAAGTTGGAATTATTCCTCTGGGAATATTGTGCTGTATCAGCAGCACCTGTGACACATTTTACACATATTTACTACCTTGAGTTGTAGAGCGCTCCCATCATGCATTACGGTCAGATCCGGTTTGATAACAAATGTGTGACCTCTCTTTCTTTTGTCTTTCACAACCAGTGTCACCTCTTTTTCATCCTTTGCATTTCTTTTCAAGAAAACAACGAAAAGATCTTTGTCTGAACAATCCTTTGCCAAAACATGAGGGCAGCCGACACTCGGTTTGTAAGAGTAAGTCCGCTGGTCAAAAGTTATGATGTTTTCAGTGTTGCGATAAACTTTACAGGTGTCTAAAATGATACAAAAGGATTAATACGCATGATCGATATACTATAGCTAACGTCATTGTCATATCATGGCATGTGATATTTCAAAATCTGATTATTGATATTTATCTTTTTTGTAGACGTGGAATACTGGAATGTTGTTCGCAAAATATTTTGATTTATATCCAGGGGCACGTGTTAATACCCTATAACTTCAATGCCTTTTTATCATTTTTCCTCGTATCAGTTATTTTGTACCTGTTATGCCGTAGGTCAAAATATCTTTAGCCTTTGCAATCGCTTTCGTTGAATTAAATGGTAAGGTGAAGTTAGCAATCTCAGCATTTGGCGTAGGAAATCCTTTCATAATAAGTCTTTTGCCGTCCTTGATGGAAATGGATAGGTTGACACTTGTCCAACATGGAAGGTTACCCATGCCGGGAATACCCATTCCACTACTTGATCCACTGTTTGCCATTCCGCTTGGAGGTCCACCCATTCCGCTTGGAGGTCTACCCATTCCGCTTTGAGGTCCACCCATTCCGCTTGGAGGTGCACCCATTCCGCTTGGAGGTGCACCCATTCCGCTTTGTGGTCCACCCATTCCGCTTTGTGGTCCACCCATTCCGCTTTGTGGTCCACCCATTCCGCTTTGTGGTCCACCCATTCCGCCTTGACCTCCCATCCCAGCATTCATCCCTTTTAGCTGTGAATAATGTAAACGATGCTTTCGTTATTTCACACATTATTTATCTGAATCTTTGAAATATAAACAGTAGCGTTTCTTGGTGTATGATCCTTGCTGTAGGGGTATAATTTCCCCACAAAGAAGTACCGAAGTAGAGCATATCGTCCATGAAGCGTATTTTCGGGGATTTCAAGAGCCAACAAATTCTAGGATTATAAACTCCGGTTAAGATAATGCATGTTGAAAAGGTTTTCAAAGTAAAATCAAATAACATAATGATATTTATTGCAATGAAAATTAACACACCTTTTCCAACTGTTTTTGAAGGTATTTCTTCGGGCACGTCAACTTTTCCAGATTTTCTGGTAAAGACTTCCAACTGCTGTAAAAGTCCAATCTAGCATTCTTCACTTTACCATTGTATACATACGTGGTATTTATAGCGTAATGACTGCAGTTTTTACCCCAACCCAAACCAATGTCCAACTGTCTGGCTGCCATGTTGATTCTGAAAAAAAATCTTCAAATTTATCATCCAACCAAACAAAACAAGATTTTAAAACACCACAATTTTCTTTTTAAAAGTAAACACAAGGTGATCGATATACTTCTAGCTGTGAGATGATTGTGCTTTAATCAATGAAGTTTGTGAAGCTTGTAATGTGACATTGATAACAAAATATGTGATAGTACATATAAATAAAGGATTTTTTATTTTGATTGTAAATCAAAACGATGTAGCACGATGTGTTGCTTGATATAGAAATAAAGGAAAGTTATAGTGCTAGGAAGGAGGTTATTCCATGTAGAAACACCCTTGGAAATAAATTCGGAAAAATTTAAATTTAAAATTTCTGACGTCGCTGGGATTCGAACCCACGGTCCTCGGATTTGTATTGTCGATGCTCTACCACCTGAGCTACTAGCTCAGACTGGAAGCGGGTCGGGTTGAAATGGATGTTAGGTTGCGGTAATTAGAATGTAAAGATATGAATGTAAGGACCGCATGGCACTATAAGAAGCATGATATAGAAATAAAGGAAAGTTGTAGTGCTAGGATGGAAGTTATTCCGCGAGAAAGACCTTTGGAAACAAATTCGAAAAATTAATTTTTGGGTGTGTTACTGGTTCTAGTTCAGATGGCTTTAAAATATAAGCAATAGTCCGTTAAGTGTTTTCTGTAAAAAATGTCTCAGAACCTTTAGAAGTAAAAGCTTCAATGTGTAAGCTATCATCAAATTCAAACCCACTATGAATTTCAACTACCTGCTGTTGAGGCACCCCACGTGTTTGACTTTTCCATCTGTTTTCTGAAAGGCTTTTAGCGAGAATCCCAAATAATTGGGAATTCCTTCTAGAGGAGATTTTTCCAGGGATTTTCCAGAAGTGTTGAGCTCAATATGGAACTCAGTTAATGTCGTCTGGTTTTCTCCGTTCAAATGAAGCTGCATATCGAATCTCTAAATGCGGAGAAAGTCCAATAAATGAATAAATATAATATTAAATAAATGGATTTAAAAGATTTATTTTTAAAGGCCAATGTATTTTATTCAAAGTAGACGAGAAAAGTGTGCGTGCTGAATTCTCTTCTATATTTTCAATTCGTTTTTCGTCTTACCCTTTCTTTGTCGTCATCTTTAGTGACGTTCTGATACAGAAATTCAACATTATCCACTCGGTTTTTGACAGGTGTATACCACGACATCTCTCTATACGACTTCTCATCATTTTCAGTACTAGAGCAAACTTCCAAATGCAAAAAAGCTTGTGAAACGGTATTGCAGTTGACACTAGCTTCCTCTTCTTTGGCAAAGACTGATTTGGGTGGACCATCTATGAAGCTGCCTCCATGTTTTTGTKTTCCCATATTTGGTCCCTGTCCAGGATTTGGCAGTGGACCAGGGTTTTGTCCAAGTGTTTTTGAACCAGGATTTGGTCCGTCTATAAACTGAGGTTTCCCAGGATTAGGTCCTCCCCTATTTGGACCCTGTCCAGGGTTTGGCAATTGCCCAGCTGTTTTGGAACCAGGATTTGGTCCGTCTTTAAATTGAGGTTGTCCAGGATTAGGTCCTCCCCTATTTGGACCCTGTCGAGGGTTTGGCAATTGCCCAGCTGTTTTGGAACCAGGATTTGGTCCGTCTATAAACTGAGGTTTCCCAGGATTAGGTCCTCCCCTATTTGGACCCTGTCCAGGGTTTGGCAATTGCCCAGCTGTTTTGGAACCAGGATTTGGTCCGTCTTTAAATTGAGGTTGTCCAGGATTAGGTCCTCCCCTATTTGGACCCTGTCGAGGGTTTGGCAATTGCCCAGCTGTTTTGGAACCAGGATTTGGTCCGTCTATAAACTGAGGTTTCCCAGGATTAGGTCCTCCCCTATTTGGACCCTGTCCAGGGTTTGGCAATTGCCCAGCTGTTTTGGAACCAGGATTTGGTCCGTCTTTAAA